AAACAATGAGAGTGTGCATTAAGAGATAATACATTCGACGACACATGTGCGAACAACTCCGTGACGACCGCCGTATTGCTGTAGTTTCTTATCTGATAGCCAGTGTAAGCTTGAAATTTGAGGCTTTGACCAAAGSGAGGTATGAGGTCCCTTGATTCTTTACAAGCCCCTTCGAAAGCTATCTACGATGAGCCTCCYGGCAGCTCTCTGATTGGTYAATCGCCTAGAATTRAATTTTATTGTCTGAATAAACGTCTGTTAGGAGGGAGAGACATGAAAACGATCCTCATAACGGCTGCGAGAGAAGATCATTGATTCCTAGGTAATTTTACAATTTCTCCCATGATCACTATAAGATTATCTGGAAGATTGCCCCAAAAGAAGATTAAAGTCATTAAATCCATCTCTATCTGCCACATCTCCATCGGAAGCCATAAAATGAACTTGAAGAATGTCTATAACGTTTTCTCTATAATACTCGTGTAAATGCATAAACATTTCAACTCTCGTCTAATTCGAAAATGCTCTCATAAAATTCTTTTAAACAATTGAAGTCAAGTTTTTGATTTAGTTCAGTGTTTGAACGTTAATCCTTCATCAGAGCAAAGTAATGAAACTATGCTGAAAGTGTGAGTTTTTATCATTATGAAAGGAGGGGAAAAATAGGAGCAGATCAATAGGAGCAAGGTAAGCATGGTAACGAGAAATGAACAATGAAAGTGTTAAAAAATGTAATTGAAAAAAACAAGGGAAATGCTAAAAGGGAATTTTTGAATAAAAAATTAATCTGAAAACAAAGCTTTCATTCAAGCCATTGGGATCATAGGTGCCCAATGACAATCATTGTACCAACAACATCAAAGCTAGAAAGAAAATATGGCGAAATATGGCTGGTAAATTAAATTTTAGCAGTTCTCCCACYTAGCCCCCTTTCATGTTGGGTCTTGCTTTGGAAGTTTGTGTACTATGGTAACATACTGAATAATTCAACATACTGCAACATTGCTTTTAGGGGGTTATGGGGAGTGAAATTGTCTGCGGGTGTTGCTTAAAATGAGGGAATTCACTGGATTTTGGCAACGATTGTAGATAGCTAGAGAGAGCTAGAGAGCTAAGTTCAGTAGGGCAATTACAAGCGGAAACAATAGGACGGCACGGCTATTTGCCATTAGGAACATGATCTCAGGTAGAAATTAGATGTGAGAAGSACGTGAAATGGTAACAAATTAATAAGTTAACAGTAGTAGAAGGTAAAAAGCCGATTGGGGTGAAAGTGTTTATGATTTAATGTCCTTCACACTGGAAGAAATCGCGCGCTTTAAAGGTTGTAAATTTGATGTATATATGATGTAAGTGTCCAAAATGATGTAAATTTGATGTGAATCATTTCCATCAAATTTACATCATTTTGGACACTTACATCATATTTCCATCAAATTTACAACCTTAAAAGCGCGCGATTTTTTCCAGTGTCACTGTCTTCTTGATCCACGCTTCGAAAGTCAAGTTGTCACGGGATAGCCAATCGCAATGGAACATTTTTTAGCGAAACCCAAAGATCAACTTTCGATGACCTCCAATTTTGACATCATTCCGCACTTTGYATATTGCTTGATGCAACATTGATTAATTACTTCTTCGTTTAAACTGATRGATGTTTGTTATTCAAATTGCAGATTGTTTTTTTTTAAGTGACACTTACAAGAATGCTTCCAGTTTGTTCGTCCGAATATTTATGTTATGTGACGGGCTCCCTGTGCATACATGCTTGGGGAGTCCCAAGGGCCGGGTCGCATGTTCGAGTAACAAAATAAACACTTCATGCTTGCAAAACAATTTACCATGAGATAGAGCTAACATTTGCTCATCTTTAGAATGCACTTGCTCATATTAAACGCAAAAACTTTTTTCGAATCTTCTCTTCGAAAGACTGTAAACTGAAATTTTAGGACAAACCGTATGTTTGCGTTTATAGCTGTCAGGAAACTTTGGAAGGATTGCACATTTATTATCACACCATACGTATTATACATTTTATCTGAGTCTTCATTGAATAGCAATGCTGTCTCTGAGAGTCCTGAAAAACATTTCCGGAGACTTTCAAAGTAAAAGATTCAAAGGTATAGATTCTTGTAATAATCGACTTTRAATTATAAGCCAACTTTCAACAATTCTGAGTCGATATATCAAGCGATGTGAGAACGTTGGTTCCTTAGTAGACGTCACACTTCGACTCAGGACACTATCGACTCAGGACCCTATGATAAGTCGCAGCCATTTCGGAATTATCGATGAAAATTTCATAACTTTAACGTTTCACAAAAAAAGAGCGTWATACCAACCACACCCAACGGGAATCATGTTCCAATAATTTTGCAAATTTRATGCTTTATAGATTATGGTTTGCTATGTTATCTAGTTGGCTTTTCTGTATTCCACACTACAATATTCAGTTTTAAATCGATATTTATTGATCTTTATCCGACTTTAGCGAATTCAAAATATTATTTTGCTACATGGAAATAATCATCACCATCAAATCAAAGAAAAATGCATCAGCAAACCCTTATATTTGTTCCTTTTTGCGTTTTACATTTCAAAAACACATCGGTGAAGGAATGATGTTTACTGTAACCATCTCGCTTTATCATTTTTATGTATTTCGGGATCATTTTGGAAAAAAAGAGAGGGGACTGAGAATGCTKGAGCATATCAGTCCGTAAAATTATTTCTACAAGTGATTTGCTGAATTCATAGCTATCATTTATAGTGCCCGGTTGAAATGCTTCCGCTTTCCAAAATCCAGTTATTTTTYAATAAACACTTTAAATATCACAACTCTCAAATGGATATGATAAGGTGGTTATTGCACTAATAGTATCGAGCGATTTTGGTCTGACATCAAACCGCAGTCGTGCGATTTTTTTAATCGTGCGTTTGATCAGACCAAATTGCACTCCACTCAGTTCAATTATTAATCAAAAGGCAATGCATTTTCATTTAGAATCGGTCACCTGGTTTMAACAAAGTCAGAAGAAGGCAAGCAGCACCAATGACGGATACCGTCTTCATTTTAGGGATGGGCTGATAGCTTGATAACTCGTCAACTCGTCAGCACACCTCAGATTCGGGGTCTCAACGACTGTTCTACCCTGGGGTGTATTGCTATGTATTTACCATCTTACAGTAACCTAATTAATTCTGTCAATCATTTTATGCTGCACGAATAGAATCTGTMGTTGAATATCATTGCTTTCTGTTTGATTGTCTGCAATGCAAGAAGCATCTTAGAGAACGTCTGTTTTTATTGCATTTGTAGCCTAGCACTTTAGCAACACGTCCCAATGAAATAAAATGTATGTTGTTAAAACCTTATACAGCAAACTACAAAAGCTATTTTACATCATCATCTATACTAAGATTCTAGATRCATTTTTTTCTCTCTCTTCTATTGCTTTTATTTCCATCCTGGTTGACGTCAATATATTTTCAGTTTCTTCTTGACCCTTGCGGGCACACACATTCCATCGTAATCCATACATGCATATTTCTATTCTCGATATTCATAAAACTGTCTTGGAGTTTTTTTGGGGAGAGCARTGGTGAAGATTGGATGGGAGGGTCAAGTGCCGTCGCAAAAATATTGGCAAATCATGAAAATTAAAAACATAAAAATTTGAAATAGACGACTTTTCAAGCTTTTTACTATGTAGTATATTTGAATACTGCAATAACTAGTTCAAATGAAACTGGTGAGCTAAAAAATGAATGTAAAACCACTTTCGACACTAGAGTCATTGGATACATTCATTTTATATTCCTCTAAGGCTAATATAATTATAATAAAATAAGTAATAACACTACTTATATTTTTAGAATTGGTTTTGCCCACGAGTCCAAATTTGGGTGCCTGTCTTGCACATTACTGAAAGGGGTGTAAACAGCATGCWAATTAATTATCTTTCTTCAATTCTCATGTCATGCCGRAGTCACACAATATTTCCTCAAATGCCRAAGGTCTCTCTCTCTCTCCTCCATTCGCTTTGACCCGTTTATGGTTGAAACATTGATAGCTTAGCAAAATGGTCRTTCCGAAATTTAAAAAGGGACGGGTCGTCCCAAGAAACAATATGAAAACGGGTTCCTCCTCCATTTGTAGGGCACATTTTACGAGTGGACGCCCGAGATGTAGACGCAAGCTGCCAAAATACTGATGTACATGAGATGTGCTACGTGGACAACACAAAATCAAATGCAAAGGGTTTTTAAGTCTTGAAAGATGCCTATCAAACTACATAGTCTCCTCTTGCAGCCGTTATTTGGCTCGTTCCCATCTCTCTACCCCTAGCATTACTGCAAATCATGTCACTAATCAAGCCTGTGTCATGATTTCTTCATTATATGTACATCATATGCTTTTGTTTAGTTTGTAGTATTCGAGAAAACGTTTCAATGGACAAATCGAATAGTTTGAAGCATTAGACAAAAGAAACAGTCGTTTTAATCCCCTTATGACTTTCTGAAGGGACTTAATCTTTTATATTTTTTTCGCTCTCAAATCTGAAGTGGAATCYAATTCAACTGCATGCAATGGAAGCGTCTTATCAACAAACGCGCATYAGCTGTTGATGTTTTTGTCGCGYAGTTGAGAGAGTCTGAAGCGCTCAAAGCAAGGCAGCAATCCTAATTCCTTATTAGGTCTGAACATTTCAGTTCAAACTCAGAATGGGTCATATCCGTCCTAAACATGACTATGGCTCGATTCCTCTTTCAATTTTAGTTCGTTTTGTTCAGACATGTCAATAAGTTTCTTTCTCATATAAAACAAGTTCAAATGAAACAATGAACAATAACTAATTTCACTATATAATTTTTTCCGCTGAAATAGGGCGAAAAACAGGAAGAGGGCTAAACGAAATTTCTACTATTTCAAGGAAAGATTTATCCTGCTATAGGGAGATCGACTCCTTAATTATTGACTAGTTTAACATTAACGATAAACAAACTTTTCACTGTCGAATAAGAATTCGTCTTTTAGGAACTGTGCAATGAATTTTCTCATCAACTTGTCAAAGTGTAACAGTCTAACAGGGGTTGTTTCGACTTTTGTTTTTGTTGCAAGTAACGTTGCACGAAGTAGAGCTCATGTCAACGTATCGCAACGCATTGCAGCAATTTTCAACACCATTGCATCACCCCTCCAGCTACTTAAATAGTCTCCTTCACGGTTACCTGCGACATGTTGAAAGGTAGCCGTGCCTTTACATCTCGCTGAGCGAGACAACCGTTGAGCGTGCAATGATAGAAACCTGTGATTTATTGCCGGTTTGTAGGTGTGAAAGAAGGTTTCTATCATTGCACGCTTAAGGGTCGTCTCACTTCGATGCAAAGGCATGGCTACCTTTTAATATGGCGCAGGTAACCGTGAAGAAGACTATTAATTTCGATCTCCCTCTTGGATTCGAACCCACAACCTTCGGATTTGTATTACCGATGCCGCAATAACCTGAGTATCAGGCTCTGGAGCCGGAKAGGAGAGAAAAGGGGAGAGCCTGACACGAAAGTCGAGCTAAACAATTCTGCTCCYTCGCTAGAATCGCTGAATGTGTTCATAACTGTATTAGCCAACGAAAATCGCTTCGGTTTTCATATTGTGATAAGTTATCTATTTTTTTGAATTCAAATCACTTTTTTATTTTCATGAAATAACGGAATATCGATCTTTATTTRGATGAATATAGTTTGATCTTATTATAGATACAAAATATGCACTTATGGGCCTCGTCTTAGCTTGCTGTCAAACATTSTACAGCACGTTTCCCCCCCACTCTCTCCCCAGGCCCCCTCGAAGGAATGACTCTCATGTCAATGCCGAAGCAGCATTTTCTTTTTCATGAAATTGCATGAAGAACTGTTAGTTCTTGTAGTGTAGATACTGAATYTAACTAACGATACTGTACTCATTGAACAAGCTCAGAAACTCTCGCTTAACAATCGCCGAAAATTCTAAAGCGTAAATAGAAAATGACAATTTCTTGTATTAATTTATGTAACTTTGCTTTTAACGCGTTATTTTGAAATAATGAGGATGCATTTATTGTTTGTATTTATTTGTTGAAAATATCAAAAAACGAGTAAGCTTCTGTGCTGAAGGCCAATTGGAATGAATATTGATGAGGTGAATTCTTGGTGATTGTATGGCTTGAATTTCACTTCCGCTTCAAAGTTCTATTGTTCAACGGACAAATCAGAATTCAGGATGTTTGACACAGAACAAAAGTCTTTTTGTGTCTGTCGTCCGTTTTCCCCCTCCTCCTCTCGTCAAGTCCCCTCGAAGGGCTGATACTCATGCCGTAACAGCTGAGATAAAATGTCTATTTCTTGATTTTCCTACAGCTAAGCGGTCCACGAATGACAAAAAGTGCCCAAAACTGCAGGCTCAAACCAAGTCTAATTCTGTCTAAATTGATGAATAAATCTTAAATGATACTTCGTCACCTGGTTTCAACAAAGCTCCCAAAAGAAGGCAAGAAACAGCAATCACGACTACGGGCTTCATTTTCGGGATGATTTATGATAGCTTGATAACTTATCAACAATTCAGCACAGCTCAGAACTGGGGTCTCAACGACTGATCTAGTCAGGGGGTATACCTATGTATATATCACCATACCACGCCCTAATTAATTCTGTCAATCATTTCATGATACTAAACACGAATAGGCTGACCTGTCATTCAATGTCACTGCTTTCATTTTGGTTGACTTTTTCTCATCTCAGCGAACCTCTATTTTTAGCGTAGTATAGTTTGTTTAATCTGGTAACTTCACTGGTATTCTTCCTCAACTTGCTGCGAGAGACTACAAGTAGCCTCCTTGCAGCCTTCCTGATTGGGAACACACTGTAWTTTTGGRATGTCACTGGCAAACTACACGATACATGGGTAAGCGGGACCTCACCGTATTGAAACTCGATTCATAGATGGCACACGATACCTGCATATATCGACACTTACTGATAAGCGCTTTAAGTCCGCAACGTATCGAGACTTGGATTCCCGCTTGATGTATTTAGAATCATTCTGCACATGCCTTTTTGTTGACAAATCAATTTAAGTTAGTAAAATTACAATCTTCCCTGAACTAAGATATAAAAACCGAAAGAAGTTGTACTGTTTTGTTTATTTTATCATCCCATTTTATTCTAATACATCCCAGAGGGTGCCAATGCCGCTACCAAAATCTCAGCTAACTACTATTACTACTGTTTTTTGGGCAAATTTCAGTGATCTTGTGATTAGATGCATTGAACTGTTAGTTCTTTTACCGTGTAGGTACTGAATTTAACTATCAATACTGGACTCATTGAACAATCTCAGAAACGAAACAACTCTCGCCTAAACCGCCCCYGATGGCCTAACGTTCTAAAGCGTAAATAGAAAATGACAATTTCTTGTATTAATCTATGTAACATTATTTGGACACGTTATTTTTGAAATGATAAGGATGTATTTATTGTATTTATTTATTTGTTGAAAATATCCAAAACGAGTAAGCTTCTGTGCTGAAGGCCAATTGGAATGAATATTSATGAGGTGAATTCTTGGTGATTGCATGACGTCATAAACTATTTTATCCAAACGTTTCCACCCTAGAAACATTTTATTATTTATTGTGTGTGTGCTAAACTATCATAAAAGCATTTACATGAATTTTCACGACATTTTTTTCTTTGCTATCGAAATATTTTAAGTTTAATACGGTTAAACCAGTTGTCACGCAACGACACTTTTGACTAATTCAAAACAAATTAAAGTTAAGAATTTCATATATATTGTTTTCTTTGATTATTCAAGCTAATTAATAATACTAAAGACGAATTCTAAATAAGAGTTTTGCCGATAAATTTGGATATTGGAAGACTTTCATCCAACATATTGGCTCTTATCAAATGACGGCTCGTGTTTGGATTTGAATTTGACTATAGATTCCAAGCCCCTGTTTTTATTAATAAATCCCCCAAACCAGAAAAGAAAGAAGGAAAAAAGTACAAGATGTCTTTTACTAGAATAAATTAGATAGAACCTGTTCAAAAATATAACGGAACCTAAAAATATACGTGATTATTCTTGAGTGTTAAAAGTTTGATAACTGAAAAGACTTTTGCTA